ATTCTATTCATACGCAGCCATTCAGAAGGACCTGCCCCTTAGTTTTCTCCTTGACCATTTTTGGAGTTTCGTTGTAAAGGGTGTACAGTCAAGTTTCCTTAAAATACTACTTGCTTAGGGAAACCAGAAAGCCTATTTTTGGTCACGCCGTTGGCTGGGAGTTTCATGCTCAATCCCAGAGAATGTGAACTTGACGCAGGTGACAGCAAGGAAAGGCAGACAGTGTCCAAGCTGACCTTCTTAACAAACCCACCACACGTGTGGGGGGACAAGGGCTGCTGTCACTGCCCTGGGAGGGAGGAGCCTTGGCCTCCAGCCTCAAATAGGGCTCCCAGTGGCCCCGCCAGGAGGTGCCTTTTTGGCCCCATGGCTCTCCAGGGCAGACGTGTGTTTAGAGCAACTCTAACTGAAATCCCGGAAGCCAGCTATTCTTAGAAAGGAGTGCAGGGCTCTGTCTGGGCTGGATCATCTATGGTCCTCTCCAGCTCGGTGCCACCAGCAGCCGGGCAGGCTTCCTCCCAGCCTCCCAGGGATGCTGGGGACAGGTGGTGAACGTGGCTAAGACTGGGCTTCCTCAGACGGGTTACCGTCCCCACATTTCAGAAGCTCAGGGATACCACACTAAAAGCATATATGTGCCAAAGCTGAGAGGCTTCTCCTGTCAATCTGACTCAGATAACACTGGCAAGACCTCAAGCAAGTCCATTTGTGGCACCAGGGAGGCTGACTTTCCACGCTAGGTATGCACCTGCTGAATCTGGGTGTGTGATATGCTTTCCCACAGAACGTCCAGCCTCAAGCATGTCAGTGGACACCTTTCCAGAAGTCCTGGACTTGGAAGGCCACCATGGTGACCCACTTGTCCTTCTGTGATGACCTTGGATGTGTGTGCTCCAGACCATGGTCCTTCTCAAGTGAGAATATCCCTTATGTTTTCCACCTGAGGGCTCTTAATACAGCAGTGATCAGTTTAGCAATAATTATACATAATTGTGCAAATGTATCTTTATATATTATACTAATTATGATAACAGCTGCTTCTCTACTATGTATGGGATGCTAGTTGCTGTGTAAACTTCATCTCTAACCACCACATCCAACCTGGGAGGGAACATATTTGCATTCCCATTTTTGAAGATAAAGGACAGATGGAGGACATTGAAGAGTGACCCAAGCTGAGCATGGGGTTGCAAGCCTCTCATCTCAGCAACTCTGGAGGTGGAGAAAGAAGATCTGAGAGTTTGAGGCCAGCTGGGGCAAAAAGTGAGCAAGACCCCATCTCAAGAAACAAGCCTGGCATGGCATCTCAGGTCTGTATCCCACACATATGTATGTAGTCTTTACATATGTGGTCCCTATTTTAAAAGCAAAATACAAACGAAATGGCTGGGGTGTTGCTTAAATGATAGGACACTTACCTAGGAAGCCTAGGGCAATCCCTATTACCTCAAACCAAAACCAAAACCAAACCAAAACAACAGCAACAAAAAAACCTCAAACCAAACCAAACCAAACCAAACCAAAAAACCCCAAATCATGTGCTTATGGCCAGAAATGACTAAGTTAATGTGCATATGGGGTGTTTATCTCCAGCACCCATTCCATTTTCACCGTACTGTTTCACACATCCAAGTGGGCCCCGGTGATGCTGGTATGCAGGCCTGGGGAGTACTGGAGGACCCTGGAACAGTGAATGCCACTAAACATTTTCTCAGGGCTCCACTTGCTGGGACATGGATTATACTATCACTGTGCTATACTTGCCCACTAAGTGCATATGGGAATTTCCTTCCCGAGCCTTTTAGTTCTTCTCATGGCTTTGCATTTATCTTTTAGGTCTTTGCTGTTGAGTTGCAAACACCACTTCTTGCTTCTCTCCACAGCACCATTATGTACTTTTTTCTTTGTAGGTTTGTGTGTGTGTGTTTGTATGGCAGTATGCAGTTTGAACTCAGACCCGCACGCTGGCTAGGCAGGCGCTCTACCACTTGAGCCACTCCACAGCCCTCTCTTCTTCTGTTTTTTAACTCCTAATATCTTGTTTGCTGGAAAGATGAACAACCCAGCTCGCTTTAGGCCACTGCTAAGTGACAGTTACGTGCCAGGGCCTCAACTCCCTCAAGTGGGGGACAGAACTGTCTGTCACCAACTTCAAAAACTTGGAGGTACAAATGTGACCACCTGGCTCAGCCCAGGGAGGCTGTGGAGGTGTATCTCTGAGAAACTGAAACCAGGCAGTCTTCAAGCAGAAGTGAGAGGCATCAGAGAGAGAATGGGGTATCTGGGAGACATTCCAGACACCAGAAGAGGGGCAGGTGGAGGGAACGAGGGGCAACTCTCAGAGCTGCAGTGTGACCTTTAGGTCACACTTATGAGAGTCTGAGGCACCTGAGGACAGGGCAGGAAGGACCCTTTTGACTGCCACTACACTCTGGTTCTGGAGGGCCGAAGGAACCAGGGATATTCCCCGGGGACAAGGGAGACTGCTACACATGGAGACTTGAACTCTTCCCTTGTTTTAACCGGGCTTCAGAATTCCCTTAAGTCATTAATAGCAGTGGAACCACGAGGTCTAGAACACTCTTCTGGCTTTTCTTCTATGCACTCCTCTGTGATCAATTTAAGACTGCACCTCATTTGCATGCTCACAGGAAGCTTTAATTTTGCTTCTCACACAGGGTGGGCCCCAAGCATGACACTTTTTTTTTTTTTGCATCACTGGGATTTGAACTCAGGGCCTCACACTTGCTGGGCAGGTGCTCTATCACTTGAGCCCCTCCTTTGATCACATTTACCATGTAGAGCAAAAGGGATGGAATGGGCACTTTTCACAGTGGTGACAGGCCCTCCCTCATCCTCAGAAGGTCACTGTCAACTGGCTGTCCTTAGTTTGCACGGGAGTGCGTTGGAAAAAACGCTGAAGTAAAGCAATCAACCGTTGCTTCCTCGATTAACATCTTGGTTTATTATGCACACATAACCTGCACAATCTGAAAGTGCAGAAGGAAAAATCTGTTGTTGACCTGAAATAAACCCATGAATGGCATGCAGCCCTCAGAACTGTAACTACACCGTACCATATCAGTCATAATTAGGTCATAATTTCTAGATCCAGAAACTTAAATACTAGCTTCCAGATTCCAAAACGAGAGTTCGTTTCCCTCTGTCCTCCCCTCACCCGCCATGAGCAATGCAAATAGTGCATATGACCAGTCAAATCAGGCGACAAGAGAATGGGACATTTCTCTGTGTTTTCTGGACCTGTCCTCACACTGGCATCCTGGTATGGGCCGGGGGAGCACAGGTCTCTTCCTATGAGTTTGAGCAAGTATTTGAGAAAAATAACAAGGGTCATTCTTCTTCATGTGGTATGTCCCAAGTGACACTGACAAGGAGAAATTGAGTTGATTCTCAACCAGAATCTTATAGTTGAAATGAGATGAGATCATCGTGGAACTTCGTGCACTGATTTCACACAAAGATATCTGCAACGCATAGCAAACGGTCACCTGGCCTTCACTCTGAACCCTCGCTTCTAAGGTTACTATAACAGAAACCTAGCCACTGAGCTGAGTATGAATCTTTGAGAAGATTATCTGAGATCAGTTTTCTACTACCCAAAGCATACATTTTAAGTAGACAAAATGCAGTGCAACAATTGTTGACCTTCTTGAAAAAACTGCACACAGAAATGAATTATTCACCCACTAAATGGAACTCCATAAAGTTGGAAAACAGGAGGAACTTTTGTGTTGTTGACTTCTTCTATTAAAATACCTTCTTTTGTAATTGGATCCACTTAAGAAAATCAGGTAGCAGAATTTTTAAAGTGGTATGTAAAAGGTTCTTCGATGTTATTTACTTAGTAGGACGTGAAATACTTTGTGAAACCTGTTGTAAATAGAGTTATGCGCAGTTACCATAAATACACGATGTTTTATTTGTGAAGTATCTAAGGAAAAAGATGATTCATGGCCTGTAGTTTGCAGCACCTGCTTTGATACTTATTTATTTGCAGCGCTATGATTCACAGTTCTCTCTGGGGAAGCAGGCGGAAGACGGGTGTACATTGTTCTATGAAAACTCCAAGTCTCGTTTTTTTCCCCTTAAGTTTTAAAAAATGTGCTGTGGAAAGAATTTATTCCATTTGGCTCATCAGCAAGGATGCTAAAGCACTATGCAGCTGTCAAGAGAAAAGGGTCCTCAAATACGCTACCACGCGGCGAGCGCCATGTCTGAAGGCCTTGGGAGTGGACTGAAGGTTGGTAATGGGTAGAGAGTCCCTCCTCTCCGTGTGAGCTCATGAATGGAAATCCTTCTAGGCTAGCTAGACTGCTTCTATCTTCTGATCTCAGGACAGTCCTGGCCCAACAGCACAAATGCTGCTGGTGTTAGAGAGGGTACTTGTGAGCAACTCAGTGATGGTACAACTGTGGCTCTAGATAAAAACTGCCCCACTAAAACATGAATAATCAAAGCATGGCATCAAGACCCTCCAAAAAAAAAAACAAACCATATTGATTGGGTTCTTAATAAGATGATGACGACGTGCTGCATGCTTGGCAACATGTCTTACACACTTAGTTTCATCTGTCCCTGCAGGGAGTGATGCAGATGACCCCAGACTGGGTGCAAGATTGACCTTTGGACCAACAAGAGGATTCCTGAATGCAAATTCCATATGGATTAAGAAGAAAGGGCTTATCTGGGCCACATTTTCTGACCTGCCCGTGAAGCTGTGCGTCTGTCATGTATTTTGCTGACACCTCAGGTGCAGCTGTCTAGAACAATCACGAGGTTCTCGACCTCTGACCTGTGGCTCTTGACCCATTGGTTTAATGATTATTTCCCCCATAGGGTTTCAGGAGGATCAGTTTTCCTGAAGAAATCTGCAGCTATCCAGATGTATGCATGAGCCAAGCTGCGGTTGCTGTGGTTGCTGTGACTGGGGTGGGGTGGGAGGAAGGGGGAGCCAGGCATTCTGGGTTTGAGGAGCAGCAATGCCGTTCAATGTGGCAGGCTCCGTGCCTCCCTCTTGTCTGAACACTGTGGAAGAAGCTCCACATTTTCCAAATATGTGTGAGAGCACAGAGGGCTACCTCACCTCTAAGGTAATGTGAGATTCCAGTGAGGTAGCACATATGTGGATATGCTCATATCTAAAATGTTAATATTTACAATTTAAAACCATACAGACAAGTACCTGTAATTGTGAATTAGCAAAGGCACAGGAAAAGTTTCTTTTAAAATGTGAAATGATACTGATAACTGATGCAAATGCTAGTGGAAACAAAAAGACCTAAAAAAATTAAAAAATGATCTTTCCTTCAAAACAAAAGCATTCCCAAACATTCCTCTGAAAACCTACCCCCTGGGAGGCTCCCTTGGATCCATAAGCCCTTATCTAATACAGCTCTCTCCCTGAAGGGCTCCATCTTTAGGCAGATCTGGTTTGGGTTGCTCCAACCCAATAGCAATGCAGAAGTCACGAAGGGTTATGCAGAGCAGGCCACTGGCAAGGGAAGCCCATCTGATACAGGTTAACTGGAGCACAAAGGAAGCCACCCGGTGACACCTGAAGAGCCACCAAGGGCTGGAGATGGCGAGAGGTACAGACTCAGGAGGGTGAGTGTTCGAGTGTGATGGCCAGATGTGGTCAATGTGCACCTTTCTGAGTGATGAGGATGAGTGACCTGTTGAGGGCTTCCTGTGGCCTTGATCCTGTGTTCGGTCTACCCTAGCCACAAGTGTTGGCCTCCGATCCTCCTCATGCTTACCGCCACAGATGGAAAAGTGGTGTGGCAGAGAATAAATAACTTGCCAAAGTCACTTCAGAAACTGAGAGGAGCCAGCACTAGGCTCAAGTGTTCTGGTTCCAGTCTATGCCATGCATCACAGCAACTCCAGAGCCCATTTTGGGGTGCATGAGGAGGGAGGAGGGGTAGCCATTGCAGTGAAAATATGTAAGGTCCTCTCCCCCTCCTCACCCCGGCTCCTGCATTTGAGGCACAGGGCCTGACACATAGCAGAAACTCAAATATTTGCTGAGTAAATGAAAGAATTCGCAGCAAAAATGGGACAAAAGGAATTCTGCTCAGCACTGTCACGAGAGCCACTCCTCAGCGCTGTGCGCAGTGGGCTCCCACTCCTGCTATTTTAGCTTGCTGATGACTGCCCTAGCCTGGAGTTTCTCAGTGTCAACACTTCCTTCAGGCCAGATAATCCACGCCCAGAGTCATCCTGTGAACTGGGGGGTGGCTATCCCTGTCCCTGGCTCTACCACAAGAGGCCAGGAACAAACACCCTGTACCCAGGTGTGACAACCAAAAGTGTCTTTAGGCCTTGCCTGTTGTCCCCAGGGTGGAAATGCCTTGTTGAAAACCTGTACTATAACCACCTAAGACCAGGAGCTGGTCACTCAGTTCCTAGGAAATAGGTTTACAGTTGTCCCTCGTGTCCTTGGGGGGTACATTCTAAGACCCTCCCATGGGTGACTGAAAGCTAGTACCAAGTCATAGTTTCTTCAAACATACCTATTCATGATGAAGTTGAATTTCTAAATTAGGCACAGAAGACATTAACTACAATAATGGCTGACTGCGACCACAGGAGGTGTGGACAAAGAAGCCGAGGATAACTGTAGGCCTGGAAGGTGCTCAGAGGCTGTGGTTGCTGGGAAAGTCTCAGTGGACTGTGGGTTTGTCTCTTCCCCAGCTGATCATTCATGAGTTTGCTGAGATCAACGCGTGATCCACTGTGATCCTGTGAGGCACAGAGTCTCACGATCACATCATGGTTGAGGAAACACACCAAGGGATTGCTCACTTGCCTAAACTGTCCAGATCAGGTCAGAAATATTTTCCTGGTCATCCAAAGAGGTTTTGCTTTGTAACTGTCATTCACATGAAATGTGAAATGACAGAAAGGCCCCCTGGGGTAGAATAAGACTTTTAATTTTTAGTTTCACACACCAGGAGTTTGCTTCAATTAGTCTCTCGGTAAGACAGATTTTACCGTTATTTCAGTTTCCTGGGAGTCACATCAGTTATTACTTTCTCCTAGTTCTTTCAATTCACCTTACAAGGCTTCCCGATTCGACTGTAGTTCTATGTTTTTTCTATCTCATGGGATGTGACCCAGACTAGGCCTCGTTCTGCCACATGGGACTATGAAGGAACTCCCCTGACCTTGACGGACATCATTTTCCCCAGCTGTGAAATCTGACTGACTTGTGCATTAGGTCATTCCTAGATCTAAAATTTTCCATATATATGTATTATTTTGACGAAACATTCTCCCTTACCTGCCCTTCCTTACATTTAGATGAGCAAGTCCCTGGTACGGAACTTACGAGAGTAAACCCTGTAAAAACGAAGATAAAATTAAAGACGGATGTAAGCATACCATTCCCAACAAAGGAAGCAGAAATCACTAGCTAAAAAGAACAGAGGCCAACCAAACTCTTGAAATTCCTTATTTCACATTTTAGCTATTGAGGACACCGAGGCTATGCCCTTTGCCAAAGTCATGTCCAATGTGACAGTGGCTTTAACATTCTTGCAACGTTTTCTACCTCTGTAGAGTCCTGCATTGTTCATTCTTAGAACGAACCCCTCTTTCTAAGCAGGAGTTTCATTGCTAACAAGAGAACAGTTTGACAATATATCCAGAACATGCTTTTATGAGAAAAGTTCTATGAAGAAGAAAAGTTTGCTGAAGTACACTTGCGATGTGTTGGGGTTATGTCTGAATAAAGCCATTATGTACTATGCTACCTTTCGTGGGCAGAGATGGTTTTACCTTCTTAACTCGTTCCCTATCAGTTGCTTTCAGCAATGTTTCACCAAGTTTAGCTCAACGTGTGAACTCCCTCATGGTCAAAGTAAAAAAAAGAAAAACAAGAGCCAGGAGGAGTTTCTCTAAGGAGCAGGCCCTTGGGGATTATTTTGAAAAGCTTTTCTAGAGTTATATCACTTCAAGGACATTCCTCCTCCCACCCCTCCTGACTCGTGTCTAATCCCCTTTAGCCTGGGGTGCTCAGATCCAAATAGAGGGCATCCCAGGAAGAGCTGGAGGAATGGCCCATAGTGCTGGGATGAGGACATGGACAAGTGCACCACAGAGCAAGCAGTCGGGAAACCAGCTGGAAACCAGGCAGGAGTGAGAGAGAACCAGAGACTTCAGGAGGAAAGGGGACAGTGGGGATGAGCCGATGACAGATGGACCAGCGCTCCATCTGCAAGGATGTGATGTAGCAGCAGGGACAGAGGGGCGCTTGTTGCCAGAGCACAGACTTGTCCAACCCAAAAAGCACACCATGACCCCTATTATGAAGCTGGTCAGAATGCCAGTGTGCCACCATGGCAGGGCAGGGATGAGTGTGCCCCTCCCCCAGGGCCCTATCAGGTGGGCAGAAGGACCCTGCCCAAGTGAGATCCAGGATGGAACACAGTGACATCTGAGATAATAAGTAGAATTCAAATCTTCCCCTCACTAGGACAAACCACCCTGGGCCTCTCAAGACCGAAGATCACTGACTAATTCTGCATTGAAGGAGGTAGGACACCTCAGGGACACTGTCTCTCTAACAATGAATATCCCTTGCCTCATCCAGGAGGGCACCTGCAGCCGCACACACGTGGCCTTGGCTCTCAAGGGGAGGCTCAGGAAAGTCCCAGAGGCTCCTTGTCCTCCATATGGGACCCCTGTGCCAGCAGAGCCCATGTCGCTAGAAAGCTTGGTGCAAATGCACCAAGTGGGTCTGAGGACCCCATTCAGACCTACTGAGTCAGCACATGCATTTTACCAAGAAAGTTTGAGAGGCACTCTTCTGGGTAATTTCAAGGTAGCACAAATTCGTAACACAAAAAAAAAAATCGTGATTTTTTTGAAATGTAGTTTTCAGAATGAATATGGGTTTTGGATAAAACTCTGAAAACTATCAGAAAAATAGTGATTTTTTTGGCTAGTGACTACACATGCCCTTCATAACTCCATTGTAAATCAAAAATATATTAATACACCTAGCCTTAGCTAACTGAACATCACGGCTTAGAAATGAAGGCAGAGGTAAAGCAAACCGATGCCTGTCACCCTGGCTCATGAAGTAGGGTGGGGACAAGGAAAACAGCCAGGAAGGAGCCCGTCTGGCTCCTTATTTCACATTTTAGCTATTGAGGACACCGAGGCTACGCCCTTTGCCAAAGTCATGTCCAATGTGACAGTGGCTTTAACAGACAGAGGTGTTTAGAAGGGATAGACTCTCCTGCAAAGTTTGGCAGAGTTAGCTAAAATTTCAGGGCTCCCCTGGATTCCTGGAGCCCCTAAGCTCTGTGACGTGAGTATTTATATTGCAGTGCACAGCAAGCATTTGTGAGTGATGCTCTACCTGCAGGCCATACTACCAACCCCTCTGCATGTGACTGAGCCACACACAGGACAGAAAGGGGCAGCCTTCCCTCTAAATCCCAAATGTCCCCCTATGTCCGTCTTACAGTGTTATCGGTATAACAGCTGTTTCAACTGCGAGATCAGCTGACCCCATTGCGAGCCTGTTCTATGAGATATTTTGACTTTTCCTTTTAAAGACCCACAGCCCAATACTTGACTCTCCAAAGCCCTCTAGGACAGATACTCTATGAAGGTCAGGTCAAATACGTTCTTGATGACGTGTTGCCCATCAACAGTCCAGAGTCAGCTCTGTGAAGGGAAAGAAGACTCAAACTTGCAAAACCATTTCCCGCCACTTAGATGTTTTTGCCACACATTTGGTATTGGTCACGGGGCGTGAAGAATAGAAATCCAGAAGCTGGGCCTACTAAGTCCATGTGAGTATTCTGTAGCCCTGATGTGCTACGAAAGTGGAACACACACCCCAAATGACTCATAGCCATGGTAGGAAAACTTATAATTGGATCACTATATTTCTTTCTTAATTGCAAAAAAAAAAAAAAAAGGTGATGGACATCCCATCTCTGAGAAATACCACGTGTACAAAAACAAACCTTAGTCACTAAACCATATGGCTGTAAGAAAAGGGGCAAACAGTTCCACAGTGGGACATGCACTGGAATCCATGTTGCATTTTGGAACTAAAATCTTGTGAGGCAGAACAATGACCTCCCACGACACACATTGTGTGTGCTGCAGACAACGGGAAATCCAGATGCACAAACAAAAGATAAACAACAAACTTGCCAAGGCGGCAGAGGAAACACCTGCTATTTTTTTTTTTAATGGAACAAGATGCTAATGATCAGTTCGTATGAAGGTTTAAACGTAATACATGCTTTACTGTAGAGGGCACAAAACGAGATTTAAATACAGCATTGCAGAAAAACATCAGAGCAATAACATCTACAGTTTAAATTGGAAATTTTTTATCTGTTCAGGTCACCTGAACAGATAAAAACAAGGAAAGACTCTTACTGATGAGAATAAATCTTGCTTGTTTTCTATAAATAACACGCTAAAAAGAATCAGTGATATGCGAACAGTAAATGCTCTAACTTTGAAACAATAGCACAACACTGATCACGCTTCTTAAATGCCATGGGATAAATTCTGGAGAAGTGGAACCATACAGGGAGATCCTCCCATCTTCTCCTCCTGCCCACCCAGCAGAGAACAACATGGGAGCATCTGAAACGGCTGGCTAATCACCCCGAGGAAAGATGGGGGCAATCGCCTTGTGACAGAAAATTATTACTATTTGAAACAAAAAAAGCCTGCTGAAAAGTTTTGGGAAAGTTCTCCTTTTTGTGCCAGATTCCACTCCCCTGTGAGGTCCCATGGCATCTCTTTCAAAGGAACCACCTCAGAGGGGTCCCTGGGCCCCAGGGTGTTGGGCCCAGTGAGGTCAATGGTAGCTGTCAATCTCTCTTTAAATGTCCAATTTTTCTTGCTTCCTTTATGGTTTAAGCTTCTGTGAACTAAAGTAAAAACACTGGAAATCCCAGAGCGGGGTACAGCAGAGAAAGAGAGAGAGAGAGAGAGAGAGGGAGGAGCAGGGAGGAGAGAGAGACATGAGGAGGAGGGAGGTAGAGACAGATCCTCAGGGTAGGACAGGATCCTATGATCCTGGCCTTCTTTGGCCTTCTTTCCTGTCTGTGAGCCAGCTCCCTGTCTTGTCTACTTTGGGAGTTCCTCTGGCTCAAGGCCAACCCCACATAAAGACCAGTGGGGTAACTGATGACGATGGAGGGCAAGTGAGCTCCAGGCACTGGCAATATCAGACCACAGGCAAAACAAGTCTGAGCCATACTGCCTGGGCCTGAAGTTCTAGTTTTTCTCCATCTTAGACTGCTCCTGATGA